CCCATCCTTGACGAGGCAGTGCGGCTTCCACGTATTTTGCAAAAAATGTGCAACTAAAACCTCTGTTTTTAACTTTTATAGTTAGACAGTGATTTTTTTTGCTGGTTGGCTGGTGAGTGTGCTGGGAAACTTTTGCTTTAGAACGTTAGGAGACATACTATCTGCACGAATTTCAGATTTGCAGTAAGTCGCAGGGACATTGGCCTTGTAAGCCTAGCCAAGCTTTTTTGTTCTATTGAACATTTCTTTAAAAAAGGGTCTGTGAGCTTCTTTTCTTTGAACTGTTTGTTGCTTGTTCCCAGCTGGGAAACATGGCCTGGTCCATTCTTTTCTTTTTCCACTTCAAGGCTCAAAAGGTTAAATTCTAATTTATTGATTGTGTTTTATTAATGTATACTTGGCATACAATATTAAGAGCAATTACTAATAGATGTTGCATATTGGTCTTTGACTTAGTTGTTTGGGAGTTCTTTCTTTCATTTGTTTTGTTTTTTTAAGGGGGGATCTCCATTTGTCCTCATCTTTAATTTCATTGGTACGTTTCATATCAGGTAAATATTAAAGCAGATCTCAATCCAAAAATAACAAGGGAAAAATTTATAGCCCACTAGACATGTGCACTGCCAAAAAATTTGTTTAGTTTCGTTTCGTTTTAAATTCGGATTTGTGTTATTTTGTTTTTCGGGTGTGAAAGTCAATTCGGATTCGGAATTCGGATTCGGACGAAATTCGGTAGCGGTTCTTATTCGTTTCTTATTCGTTTCGTTCGTTCATTTGCAGCAAAGTGACATTTGAGTGGAAAAAATGTTTATCTCCTTCTCTAATGTCACTTTGCTCCAACGAACGAAACGAATAAGAAACGAATAAGAACCGAAAACGAAACGAACGTTCGAACTACCGCTACCGAATTTCGGAAACGGAAATTCGGATTCGTTTGCATTCGTTATGTCTGTAATTCGGAATTCGGATACATCCGAATGTCCGAATTTCCGAAAATTCGTCCGAATTTCGATTCGCACATGTCTATAGCCCACTAAACAATAAAATAAAAGAAGAAGCAGTACAGTGATACGTTCATCTCCTTATCACTCAGCATGCTTCTTGTCAGCACATGAACTCATTGGCTACTTGTGTTCTTGACAGTCCAGCCCCGCTGTACAGAGACTTTAAGAGGCTGATACTAGGTCAAATTCAGATACTTTGGCTTCTTGCATTAAAACAAATGCATTTAATAATGTATTGTCTAGAGTTTCACTTTAAGTGTAGTTAGTTTAATGTCTAATTAGTGTAATGGTTAATCTCTGTAGTTGATGTGTAAATAAATGTTTCCTCTCTTTGTGAAGCGATCTAGTAATTTGTTAAAATACCATAAAATCAATTCTTTTGATTTTGCCACACAGTATACCGGATAGTAGTATCTGAACCAGGGTACTGTTAAAAATGGCCAGCTATTATTGGCCTACTAAGGTCTACACAGGCTAAGCCCCCTTTGGTCTATCATGAATGCTGCTGCTGGACTCATCCACCTCACCAACCTCTCAGTGTCTACAACCCCCCTCTAGCAATCCCTTCACTGGCTTCCAATCGCCCAAAGAATACAATTCTAAATGTTAACAAGCACTTACAAAACCATCCACAACTCTGCTCCCAGCTACTGTATATCTCCAACCTCGTCTTAATGTATCACCCTAACCACCCTCTCCGTTCCTCCCAAGACCTCCTGCTCTCTAGCTCCCTTGTCAACTCCATCCATCCTCACCTCCAGGACTTCTCTCGAGTCTCTCCCATTTTCTGGAACTCCCTAACCCAACCTGTCCAGCAATTTCCTACTCAGTCTGCCTTTAGGCGAACCCTGTGAACTTATCTCTTCAAAGAAGCCTATCCTGCCTCAACCTAACCGCTGAACTATTACTCTTTTCACTGGAGGAACTACCAGGGTCGCAGCAGTCGCAATTGCGACCGGGCCCTGGCGTTCCGCCACTTGGGGGGGCCCAGCGAGGAAGAAGGGGGCCCCCGAGATCGTACCACTCCTATCCTGCAAGGCCTCCATCAGGGTGGTACAGCCACTGAAGTTGTAAGGGGCCCAGGCGGCCGGGCTCCAAGCTATAACTTTTTATTATGAAATGATAAGACCTATACATTTTGGCATGTCGCGGGCCCCCCCTGCCGGCTATTGGAACCTTCCTCAGACGTGCGTGCAGGGGGCGGAGCTTGCTTTCCCCGGGCAGAAGCTATCGGAGAATATGGCTGAAGAGGAGCTGCAGGTCGGCTGCCTGGAGGAAATGTAAGTGTTTACCTGCAGACAGAGGCCTCGGGGATGTGCTAGAGACTGGGGGGGAGAGAAAGTGAGGGAGAAAGATCGACCGATGCTGAGAGCTTCTCTGTATTGGTCGGTCGGACATGCAGTTCCAGGCGCCAGGCAGGGTGTACGTAAGCGCGGATACTGGGTCAGCGTTCTCGACAGAACACTGTACTAACATTTTAAACAAGCAGCTGCCCGAGGTCCCGCGCCTGCTGGGGACCTCGGCAGCCTTCCTGTGCCGGTGGGGGCCTTCATGGTTTCTTGCACCGGGGCCCTAAAGGTTCTAGTTACGCCTCTGACTCTTTTATTTCCACACAGCTGCCACTTTTTGTATCACTTGCCTCTCCCATTTAAATTGTAAGCTTTCATGGGCAGGGCCCTCCTAACCATCTTGTCTTCAAATTAGGAATGTTCAGATACCAGTTCCCATACCAGTGCCGATACTTGGCATTTTCACAAGAACTACCAGATTTACTGCGATTTAGTTGCTGCTGGGACCTAGCTCTGGCGCTCCACCACTATCCTGAAATCATTAGCCTGTATTGTTTTAGAAAAACTGTCACATGACAATACACAAAAATGTACCAGTACTTGTACTCGCAAAACTGGTATCGGTGCAGCCCTTTATATATATTTATAAAAACAAAATCATACATTAAAACAGAGATGTACAAATCCCAGGAGCTCTGTGGGCTCCTTACAAATGTTGGCCGTCCCATCATATCCAGCATCGACAGCCTTACCAGTGGCCTCTCCAGATACATAGACCAATTCTTGCAACCCATCATTACCACCTTACCCTCTTATCTAAGAGACTCTGGACACCTGATCGACATACATAGCAAATACACCTGGGAACCCACCTACCACTGGGTCTCTTTAGACGTTTGCTCCCTCTACACATCCATACCGCATGAGGTAGGCCTAGAAGCCCTACAACATCACCTGGCACAGCAGCCAGCACTCCATTATAAACAAGCCTTCATTGTAAACTCCACCAAGTTCACACTTGAACATAGTACTCTCCCACGCCCATCAGTCCCGTCACACCACTGGACACACCCCCCACTTGAAGGCGTCATAACCACGCCCGTTCGTTTTTAAAACGGCCGCCAGAATTCTTTTCTCCTCACCCTAGCTTGACAAGGAAGACTACGTCTTCGAAACGCGTTGCCACGTAGCCATAACAACGGGAACATCCGTCCCACGTCTGGGACGCCCTGCACACCTCCTTCCGGCCAGACCGGAACTTGCGACAACTGCGCCCGTCTCAGCAACAGCGCGCTCAAACCGGCCGACATCACCACCTCACAGAGAAGGACACCAACCAGCGCCCCCCTTCCATCCTCGGACCTGACGGGACCTCTCCGGCACCAACGGACACCATCACCACCTCATCAGCGGCCCACCAGCAAACCGACGGAGCCAGCACACACTTCGATCAAACCCAGAGGAATCCACAGGATCAAGCCCCCACCACAGAGACCCAGACGTCGATGACGGCACACCCATGTGTACCTCATGGTGAGTTACTACACTCTCTTTTTCTTGGCACCATCACTTATGCCTCATGTGTTACCTCTGTCTCCCTCTTGTCATTTACATCGAACGGAGCATCTGACGTGACAGAAAACCTCCATCAACTACCTCCCCCCCGCCTCCCCGTTCTCAAAGGGTAGTAGCGCTTTAGACTCCGCCATTTGTTTTGTCCTTACAAATGACAGCTGCCTCCTAACTTTTGAATTTTTCTCTAGTCTAGTCTTGGAGCTGGAAAAGTATCTCTACTTGTACTTGTACAGAGTACGGTAATTGGTATCTGAACATCCCTACTTCAAATGTATTGTTACTATAATGTCTTCCTTATATTGTAAAACGCTGTGCAAACTGATGGTGCTATATAAATCCTTAAAGTGACATTAAAGGATACATTTTTTTTCCCTCCCCCAATGTTAATGTCAGCACTTACCTTCACTGATGTCTCTTAATCCGATCTTCTTTCCTGATGTTTTCATCTGTCCCTCCAGCGGTGCGGCGGCTCTCCGATCCAGCGCTGACTCCTCTCTGCTTGCTGGCACTTCTGATCCCACGGTGTCTGCATGCGGGTGCACGCGTTCATAGACTTACCTTGCGTCTCTGCTCATCTCCCGGCTGAGAATCCAAACTGCGCATGCGCCCGCCCCAAGATGCTTTGCGGCCGCTCGAACAGTTTCGTTTTCTCGGGCGGGAGCGTGCAGCGAAAACAAGGTAAGTTTAAACCGCTGTTTTTTTAAACTGTTTGCCTATATCTACTGCTTGATAGCAGTAGATATAGGCTTGATAGCAGTAGATATAGGCAAAAAAATAGGAGGGTATATAACCCCATTAACTATAATAATAATAATAAATACTTCAGGAGAGGTAACAATTAATTACTCAGGGCACAGAGATTTTTCCACTTTAAGGATAATCAGATGAGGTGACTTGCAGGTTTTAGTTGAAGCGATTCATTTCAAAACATTTCTCAGGGAACAATTCACGAAAGGAATGCGGTATAAAGTGATTTTAATATTTTCAAATATGACTTAAAAACACCTTGGACAAACTCAATGGACTTCTAAACTGCTCGTAAACTTAAAGACAGTTCTAAAAACATCTTCATGTTTTCTAACAACAGAATTATCTTCATCTCATCTTCATTATCAACATCTTTACATATTTATGTAGAAAAGAACCTAGAAAAAAAAAGTAATTCGGCAAGACACATGCAGGGGTCACTTGGTTCATCTTAGTTATACTGTATAACCTCCTTCATAATAATTTAAGACAATATAAAACACATGGGACCTGGCTCTTTAAAAATTGAACTGTTGCCCATTATGGCTAATCAGAATTCTGATTCTGTCTGATGTTTCTATAAAATAAATAGTTAAAATAGTTCAAATCTAGGGGGCCATTCACACTTATGCGTTGTGGTAATGCACCGTAAAATGTGCATTTCGCCATTGTTAAAGTCTCTAATTTTGGAGTTCCCTGGGATTCGATCATGCTGCCAGCTTCAAGCAAGTACTTGGGAATAAAGAGTCACACCAAATTGTGTATTTACTTTATATTCAAAGGTTTATTGTAAAACAAGGAATATATATACAAAACTAAGAGATGGATGGTGGAGCATAAACCAATAAAAATCATCCATGTGTATATAAATTAATAAATGCTACTATGGGGTCCATTCACTAAGCTGGATCCATAGCTTCGGCTGATCCTTCGGCCCCAGGACCCCTTCGGTTCAGTAGAACCGAAGGGCTGCTGTACGGGCTATAGTGAATCGCACTTCAATCGCTTATAGCTGGGCTTAAGACGCCCAGCACTAACAGCTATGGGACCGGAAGTGATGCAATCTGCATTGCTCCCGATCCCATAGAACAGGGAGGGGATCGGCGGATGGAGGTTCGCCCATCTCCTACCCAGCATCCCGCCGACACCAAAGAAGCCTGTTCTGGGCCCGTAGTGTCTGGTATGACTTTTGGGGGGAACCCAACGCTTTAAAAAAAAAAAAAAATGTGTCCCTCCTAACATATTGTTTGGGAAGGGGAACTGCACGCTTTAAGAATGAAAAAAAAAGTCATTTTTTTTCCTTTAGAAATTTCAGTTTTGCTGCAGCAGGTTCTATACATCGTACAGATGCACCACTTTATAGCAGGTTAAGGAGACCCCCCCAGGCACGATATTTAAAGGAGTTTTTCATTGTTATTGTTACCCTTTAAGTGATGTTAAAACCACTGCTCCTTTAAAAAGGGTATTTTTTCATTGATTCATGTCCCCCAGGGCAGTCCCCGGATCCCAATACACCTTTTATGGCCAATAACTTGCATATAAGCCTTCTTAAAGGGCACAATTGTTGTCGAAAGTTCTACCCCCAGTGACTTGCATTGCGTTCGAATTCGAACATTTTGGATGTTCTAAAGTTAATATTCTAACTGAACTCGGGCCTGTTCAGCCTATCACTACTCTCTAACTCCCTTGTCAACTACTTCCATGCTTGCCTGTAGGACTTCTCTAGAGTCTCCCATCTTCTGGAACTCCCTACCTCAACCTGTCTGGCTATCTCCTACTCTAAAAGACAATACTGGCGCCCCCGGTTTGCAGAACGGTCCGGCTGTAAAGTTCGTTAATACACCACAGAGGCAGCTCCCACCGGTCAAAAAAGACCATCGATCTGTTTCGCTTTTATCTCCTACTCTGTCTGCCTTTAGGCAATCCCTGAAAATCTCTTCAGAGAAGCCTATCCTGTCTCAGCCTAAGCACTGGACTATTACTCTCTCATTCCCACACAGTTGCCACCTTTTATATCACTTGCCTTTCCCTTTTAGATTGTAAGCTCTCATAGGCAGGGCCCTCCTAACCATCTTGTCTTCAATTGCATTGCAACTGTATTGTCTTCCTTATATTGTAAAGTGCTGTCCAAACTGTTGGTGCTTTATAAATCCTGTATAATAATAATCACTGCAGGTGAGGTAACCCAGGGCACAAATATTTTCCTAAATCTTGCAGTTCCACTTTAAAGATAATCAGATGAGATGACAGGTTTTAGTTGAAGCGATTAATCTCAAAACATTTCTCAGTATGGAAACAATTTACAAAAGGAATGCGGTATGAAGTGATTTGAATATTTTCAAATATGACTTAAAAACATCTTGGACAAACTCAATGAACTTCTAAACTGCTTGTAAACTTAAAGACAGCTATAAAAAAAAATTCTTCATGTTTTC